AGGCTGAAGGCTAAGACAGATAACCCAAGGTGCATGAAGAGCAGCTGGTCTTAGGCAAACAAAGAAAACATCAAGTTCGACAGCCAAGGGGAGCTGTCAACTGAGTTTCATCTCTTCAGCAGGCCACAGGAGAAAGGGGGACACTCAGGGAAGAGCAAGGTTTTCCAAAGCAAATACAATACTATATGGCAGGACAGTGCCATGCTCTCAGTGGCATTTCCTAGGTAAGCTGTGTGAGTACAGAGGAAGAAAACATGGCTGTGGGCAGGAATGGGGGACAGGGGTGCCATTTAAAACCCTAGGAAGGGAATGACAGGGACGAAGGCTGAACTCCGGCCGAGTCACTACTGTCTCCTCCCATTTCATATACTTTCTGTCCCCAGATATCAGGCCATGGTCTCTGTCTCACCCAATGCCTGGTGCCGATTTCAATTTGGAATTTAACACACTTGTGTCGTCCCCATCAGGTTGTGAATTTCCAAGAGCACGGACTGTGTTTTTAGGATCCCTGTTCCCCCAAGAGTCCAGCATATAGTGAGTCTTTTTCAATGTCTATTCAGTGAATAACGCATGTCTACATGGTACATCTCACATCTCCATGGGCAGCCACAGGGACAAGGTGAAAATGAGGAAAACTCCCGATCCGGCTACACGTTAGAGGGGTGTGAGGGGCTGCAGAGGCAGCTGAATGTAGACGTAGGGCTCTAGTTGTGAGGTGTCATCTCTTCCAAAGTTCTTTCCTCACAATTAAAATCCAAGACAGGGCCAAAAGCATCGGTTCAGCCAGACAAACACATGGCAGATCTGCTGAATGCGAGGAACTGGTTCATTCTGGCCATTCTCCCATTTAGATACAATGTGCCCCTCCCTTCCAGAGCTCCAAGATTAATCCACTGATGGATTCATACGATGACAGCAATGGCAGTATCGGGAGGATTTTGCAATGTTGGAGAGGGCACCTCGTTGGAGGAAGTAGGCTCTTCCTTGGGCGGAAGGGAGTGCCCAGGAATGATATACTTTGTCCCAGACCCCTCCTGTCTCTGTGCTTCCTGGCTGCCTTTCGGTGAGCAGCCCTCCTATGCCAGACAATGCCACCACCATGATATTCTGTCTCACTTCAGGCCTAAAGAGATGGAGCCAGCAAAGCATGGACTGAGCATGGACTGAAACCCAGCCACATACACCCTTAGGATAGGACTGTGTGGACTGCATGGACTGACACACAGCCACGCACACCCTTAGGATGGGACTGCAGCCTTTGCTGTCCTCAGGTATTTTCACAGCAACAGAAAAACTGAGGAACACGGTTCCTCATAGAAACTGAGCTCAACAGGGAAACTCCTTTCCTTCTCTCTCCACAGTGCGCATGCTCTTCCAGTAGCCACACCCGGAGCTTATTAGGATCACAATAAAGGCAACCTCATAGTGAGCTTGCCTTGTTCTTCGCCCACCAAGGCCCAAATCTTCAGCCCCACAGCTGTAACGCCATCCTTGATTAACAACAGCAAAAACCTATCTTTGTCTAGATTTGAGCCATGGGTAAGGAAGAGAGGAGAAAGGGTGGGAGAAAGCAAGGCTTCTAGCTTTTTGCCTATGGAAGCATCATTACTAGGGTACATTATTGCCCCATGTAGCTCTTATATAAAATTCAAGTTAAAATTCAGGAATCGGTTATACATGTGTGGATGTTTGTTTTTGAGAAGAGTCTGTAGCCCAAGCTAGCCTCAAAAGCCTCTACTTTCCATGTAGACAAGGATGACCTTGAGCTTCTGATCCTCCTGCCTCCACCTCCCAAGTGCAGAGATTAACAGATGTGTCTATGGTGGCTAATTCTATGGGGTTCTGGGGACAGAACCCAGGGTTTTGTGCATGCTGGGCAAGCACTAACATCTATCTAATCGATGAGCTACATCCCCAGCCTCCAGGCTTACGTGTTTAGAGCCGCATGTGGTCAGTGACTATGACATTGGACGACACACACTTCATCACTGCAGAAAGTGCTGTAGCACAGAGATGACCCAGGACACCCCCAAACCTTGAGACGCACAAGATTCCATCCCCTTTCCCCAAAGGGACAACCTAAGACTCTACTAATTTCCCTCTCTTTGCTGTCCCCGTCCCATCCAGGATGGATGGTGACATACTATTTTGGGCTCCAATGCTCCTCCTACCAAAAGGTCAAAGATATTTATGAAACTCAGACCATGTTAGAATGTTTCAGAGGTACCCTCCACTCTGTGAGCTTTTCCACCCCCCACTCCCCCACCCCGCCCAGCAAGGATCTGTTCTCTCTCCAGGTTAGTGCACCTGCTGGACAGCTGCTCCTCAGGGCCGCTGTATCCTGCCCCCAACTTCCCTCCATCAGCTTCCCAGGGCAGGTTTGACCCATGGACCTGAGCAGTGTACTCCAAACCCTCCCAAGGAGCCTGACCCCTTTGCTGTCCAACTTGATTTGTTTGTTTGTTTGTTTGTTTGTTTGTTTGTTTGTTTGCCTAAAGCCAGCTGCTCTTCATGCACCTTGGGTTATCTGTCTTAGCCTTCAGCCTCCTCCTCACAGAAGACAAGAAGGGGTCCAGGATGCCGCCCCACCCAGCTGATGCAGCCTTTTGTAAACTTGGCTACAGGGCCACACTGCAGGCTTGCACTCACTTACCTGGCAGAGGACTGGATAGGAACGCTTGGGGTCTTGTTTCCTTTCTCATGGACTGGCCCCCATGTACCCCAGTACCCCGCATTGTAAACCACTAGGACAAGTGTGACCTTGTTTTTGATTTGATGTCACCTCTTTGATAGTCTCTGACCCACTTTACAAAGAAAGAGAATCAGAACTGAAGTTGCCAGCCCTGAGCTATCCTTAGAGAAGCCGATAGTTGTGACAAGGGACCTCAGGCTGACAGAAGGTCTGGACCTGCCATCAGTGTAGAACATGACCTGGTGGAGAAGTCGAGTTACCAACCCCCTGCCTCATGTCAAATGTCCATGTCGCTGCTTAGCCCGCATCACTGACCTCATGGGATTAGATGAGATCATGAATAAGAAAGTCTTGTTAACAGGGCCAAGGCTGAAAACCATCTGTTCAAGAGTAGAGCCTACAGGCTGTGACAGTGTACAGCATATTAACATGATTCCCCAGGAAGTCCTTCAGCAAGGGCAGAGGCCATGGTCTGCTCATCTAGCACAAGGCCTGGTATACAGATCCATTAAGGGGCTTTGCAGTCCCAATCTGGTTGATATGCACATAAATCAGTAATTTAGCCTTCTGGGAGATTTGACCCTGTCTGCCCTCTGACCCTGTGAGAGACTCGTCACCCAGGAAAAGTGAACAGGCATTCTTAACTTGCAACTTGCACAAGCAAGAGCTACAATTAGGCCTCATTAACCCTGAGTCCTACTCACACTCCACTGTGATTTGAAATTAATCACAGGCCCTTTGTGGGACAGAATCCGTTCCGTTGAAGGCCCGAGCCTATCCAATCTCTTCAGTGTCTGCCCCTGGATTCTATAGGGAGCCGGTATTTCTGCAGGACCTACCCCGAAGGCAATGGTGCTCTAGCCCCAAATGGTGGTGCTCTGGGATGCCTTTCAGTAGTAGGGGAGCTTTCCAGGCTAGATCCAGGATCTGCTAGATGAGAAAGAAGAAGCACGGAATAATGCAGGACCCCGAATACCTCCTGGGAAGGGAAGGGCAGGACAGGTTGGATAGGAGAGAATAGGGTATCACAGGGTGGCAGGGGAGAAGCTATTCCCAGTGTGGGGTGGAGGGGGTGCTGGGAAAACTCTGCAGGTTTGGCTTCCTGTTGGTCCTCAGAGCTGATCAGCACACCTCAGCCATTGCAGAACTTCACCCAGCTTAGGGTCAAATAACTTGACCAAGAAAGAGCAGGCCAGGCTTGCCCACGTGCTCCTCGGAGAGGCGCAATGGCTGCAGGGGATTTGTTTGGCCTCTAGCCTTTCGTGGCCTTTTGTAACAACTGAAGCATTTCCAAAATAAAGAGGTTAAACTCTGCTGGGCTGCAGTGGTGCACGCCTTTAATCCCAGCACTCAGGAGGCAGAGCCAGGTGGATCTCTGTGAGTTCGAGGCCAGCCTGGTCTACAGAGCAAGATCCAGGACAGGCACCAAAACTACACAGAGAAACCCTGTCTCAAAAAACAAACAAACAAACAAAACAAAAGGTTAAACTCTTCTCCCTAGAGTGGCTTCGACCAGAGGCCAGGCTGAACTCAACATTGCTTGGCATCCTCAGGAAGATAGAGGCCCCAGGAGGCCAGTGTGTGCAGTTCTCTTCTCCAGAACTTTACTGGGACCACCTTCCTCCTGCCTCCAGCCCTGGAACTCATCTTTGGGGAAGAACACATCCAAGGCTATGGCCTGAGCTGGAGCCCTGGCTTCTGTCAACACCAGGACATCAGCCCCTCTGCTTTACAGGGGGAGGAGAGGTGACCTCAGAGGGATGAGCAGGGGACAGAGGATCAGTATGTGGGAAGAGACATGGAACTGACCTGAAGGAGAGTGGAAGACAGAAAACTACCCTCCAGCCTGGGCAGGACACATATGAAAGGCAGCCCTCACAAACACCCTCGGAATCCTAGGGAGTACACATAGCTGGTCTCCAGTAAGGATGACTCAGAAAGGACAGCGACACCACGTGGAATATTCAGTCCTTCATTTTCCTCCAACAGCAGTATGGGTACGGACCCAAGTCAGCCAAAGAAACCCACAGGCTTGGAACAGATGGCCCACTCCCGCACAGCCACCTTCCCGAGCAGCCGAGCTAGAGCTGAAACCATGTGACTGTACCCCAACCCTTAGTCATCACACACATCATCAGTTCTATGGCCAGGTCTGCCTTACCACGACACTCAGATGGAGAGAGACCATCAAATCATCCAAGCCAGCACAGGTGGCACTGTCCTTGGTGCTGGGGAATAGAAACCTTTGCTCTACTGCTGGTATCCTGGAGCCTGTGACATCTTCCCATGCGGATGACCCCGCTAACCATCTTGTAGCCTATGTGACAGGACAGTGCTACCATTGATCAGTTCCAGGCCATTGCACACAAGGAGGCTTTCCTGGGGACCCCAACATCCCTTCACAAGGCGCCTAAGGCTGAGGGCCAGTTCTGAATGGTGTACTAATGAACACATTCCCATCAAGGACACTCGGAGCTTTGATCTCACCTCCCCCGCTAGGCACTTTTCAGGCTTCTGGAATACCATCCTCAGGCCTGCGAACCTTGGGGAGCCTTTCAACAGGCTCTAACTTGGGGAGCATCAAGAGTCAGCATTCCTGTCCCTCCTGATCCCCCAAATAACACCCTGCAGGCACACATTCTACCACCCACCACCATTAGCTGCATGGGGGGCACACACTACGGCTCTTCTTCCTCCTCTGGGCGGGGGTGTGGTGCCTGAGCTCCACGATGCACACGCTGGTGCTTGAGCAGATGCTGCTTTTGACGGAACCCACGGCCACAGGCAGTGCACAGGTAGGGTCTCTCGCCGGTGTGGTTGCGCCGGTGTCGTGTGAGGTTGGGCTTTTGGCTGAAACAGCGGCCGCAGTCTGGGCACGCATAGGGCCGCTCGCCAGTGTGGATGCGCTGGTGGATGGTGAGCGCTGACCACCATGAGAAGCTCTTGCCGCACTCGTTACAGATGAACTGGCGCTGCTCACTGGGTGCAGCCAGGGTCTCGCACCCCTGACCACACAGCACTTCCTTGACACCCTGAGGACCGTGGGGCTTCAGAGCCACACTCCGGGCCATCTCAGCTTGTGGCTCTGAACCAGGCACACCACCCTGGACTGCCGACCGCGAACGCAGCAGCTCTGCCGTGGCATGTACCCGCTGGTGGGCCCGCAGTGCCGCACGGCTGGGGTAGTTCTGTCCACAGCTGGTGCACCTTGCAGACTGGGCACCAGGCAGGTGTGTGCGCAAGTGCTTGAGCAGGTGCTGCTTTTGGCGGAAGCTGCGGCCACAGTGCGAGCATGGGTGCGGCCGCTCACCCGTGTGGTTGCGCAGGTGCCTTGTCAGGTTGGGCTTCTGGCTGAAGCGGCGGCCGCATTCAGGGCATGCGTAGGGCCGCTCGCCTGTATGGATGCGCTGATGGATATTCAGGGATGACCACCACGTGAAGCTCTTACCGCACTCATTACAGATGAACTGGCGCTGCTCACTGGGACCTAAGCGGCCATGGGCTGCTGTCCGTACCCCATGCTGGCCCCACCAGCCCTGGCAGAGCCCCAGCCAGACCCACTCGGGGCGCCCGCGTGGGGATCCAGGGCGCAGGCGGCAGACCCGGCGGCGCGCAGCAGCATACCGGAGCATCTCCTGCAAGCTGACACGGGCACCCAGGCGGTCCCGGGCATGCGCTCGCTGATGGATGCGGAGGCCCACTTGGTGCCGGAAGCAGCGCTCGCATTCTGGACACGCGTGGGTGGCGGGTCGAGAGTGAGTCTTCTGGTGCTTGAGCAGGTGTTGCTTCTGACTGAAGCGTCTTGTGCACTCTGGGCAGCAGAAGGGCCTCTCGCCAGTGTGGTGGCGCTGATGGCGCTCCAGGTTAGGCTTCTGGCTGAAGCTCTTGCCACACTTGCTGCAGAGGTAAGGCTTCTCGCCCGTGTGTGTGCGCTGGTGGATCTTCAGGGATGACCACCAGCTGAACCTTTTCCCACAATCCACACACACGAAGTGACCCCCACCCGCAGAAAGTGCCGGGCTCAGTGGGCCTGGGGCTGTTCCCGGAACTCGAGTAGCCAGCCGTGCATCCTGCTCAGGAGGTGGGACCCACCATGCACCTCCAATCTCCTCCTGTGACCCCAGAGCCCAGGGCCGCCCCGCGGTCTGGCACGGTGGGAGGACGCCCTGCTGCTGAAATATGTTTTCCTTGTCCTTCTCTGGAAGCGCGGCCTGAGACACCACAGTCTGCAGCGGCCACTCTGGCTTCTCCTGCTTGATCCCCGCCAGCCCATCTCCTACGGAGGCAAAGGGAGAAGTCAGAAGACATCATCGTGGGATGCAGAGAGCTTAGAGAGGAAGAGGTGCGGGGAAGGGTGGAAACAGCTGAAAGAGTGAAGGCAAAAGTTTTCAATAGAGGGAAGAACATGGATAAGAAAGAACGAGGATAGGGAAGACTTGAAGGACCTAGATGAGCAGGCAGAAGGTGAAGAGTGGAGAAAGCCCACAGAAGTGTAAAACCAAGTGCACGGCTGGCTTGACAAGGCCATGGGGTCCCTCATGCATGAGCTGTCCTGCCTTCAATACCCAAGGTCCAGTGGATGCAGAGATGTTAATGAACCCAGGCAATGACACTTCCTGAGCCAGGGAGAAAGACAATGGCCAATGTTCAAAATTACCATTGTTTTTTAAAAGTGACTATGTGTGTATGCATGTGTGTGCACGTGTGTGTGTTTGTGTGGGTAGGCAGATGCAAGGTCGATATGCGGAGGTCCAAGGACAACTTCCATTTTCATGTAGGTTTTGGGAGTTGAACTTGGGCTGTCAGGCTTGCCCTGTTAGAGCATCTCCTGCCCTGTTAGAGCATCTCCTGCCCTGTTAGAGCATCTCCTGCCCTGTAAGAGCATCTCCTGCCCTGTAAGAGCATCTCCTGCCCTGTAAGAGCATCATCTGCCCTGTTAGAGCATCTCCTGTCCTGTAAGAGCATCTCCTGCCCTGTTAGAGCATCTCCTGCCCTGTAAGAGCATCTCCTGCCCTATAAGAGCATCTCCTGCCCTGTAAGAGCATCTCCTGCTCTGTAAGAATATCGTCTGCTGAGCCATCTCACCAAACTAAAACTTGCTGTTCTTTTTCTAGGAGAATGGGCACCAGGAGCTTTCTAGGCATGCCCAGTCCCTCAGTGGTTAGGGCTACCACACCCCGAGTCACCGACCCTCTGTCTCCACTGGCAGGGCCCCTGCTCCAAAACAGTAGCTATGGAGCAGGAACACCCCACTGGAAGGACCTCCACCTTTCTCTCACAAAACCATGAATGAGGAGGTAGGCCCCAAAGGCTCAGCATGGAAAAAGGTAGTCCGTGCCCTTTTAGTGAAGGTAATCCATTAGAGCAGTGGTTCTCAGCCTTCCTAATGCTGCCACCCTTTAAACAGTTCCTCATGTTGTGGTGACCTCCAACCATAAAATTATTTCATTGTTACTTCATACCTGTAATTTTGCTACTGCTATGAATCATAATGTAAATATCTGATATGCAACCCCTGTGAAAGGGTCATTCACCCCCAAAGGGATCACAACTCATGGGTTGAGAGCCACTGCACTAGAGCTCAGGGGAAGAGTGACCAGCCCACAGCTTACACCCAGGCTCCGGGTGGTAAGAAGCCATAGCGAAGACTGCTTTAGAAAGGGCAGAGTATAGACGCGATTCACTTATGTAAACATGAAATCTGGTAAAACTACTGTGAGTTAGATCATGGCCCATCACAGAGGAACAGGCTCTGAGGTCCTATCTGTGTTCTTCTTCGACGCAGGTCCTGGTTACAAAGGTGGGCTGCTTTGTAAGAATTTATGAGCTTGTAACGTGTGCACCTTCCTTTGTGTGCTATGTTTCAGTAAGAAGCTCACACCTGATAAAAAGAGGCAGTACGAAACAGTCATGAGCCAAGAAGATTTGCAAACAACAGATTTCAGCATCAGCAAAGCAACACATTCAAAAAGGTAGGAAAAAAAGATTAATAAAGTTAAAAATAAAGTCTTGCAAAGTACAAAAGAATTCCAACAATACTAAAATATCATGAATAGCCTTTATATCAATCACTAAATCTATAAATATAAAGTAAATAATATTACAAGAAAATATAAATTAAAATGAATTCAAGAGCAGGTTAAAAGGACTGGAGAGATGGCTCAGTGGTTAAGAGCACCAGTTGCTCTTCCAGAGGACCAGGGCTCAGTTCCCAGTGCCCACAAGGCGGCTCATAAACCTCCTGTAATGACACCCCCTTCTGGCCTCTATGGGTACTGCATGCATGTGGTGCACAGACACACGCAGGCAAAATATGCATACACATAAAAATAAAAATGGCCCAGCATAGCCTTTAATCTCAACACTTGGGAAGCAGAAGGAGGCAGAGCTCTGTGAGTTTAAGGCTAGCCTCACCTACATAGTAAGTTCCAGGACAACCAGGGCTACATAACCTCCCTAAAGAGACCGCTTTAAAAAAACAAAAATAAATAATTTAAAGATAAAAACACATTTTAAAATGATTTTAAATAAGAACAGGTTAAAAAACTGATTTTATATATATATATATATATATATATATATATATATATATATATATATATATATGAGATTAATGTGAAAGCTAAATTCTAGCCCAAACTGGGTTATAAACAACATAGCTGCATCAACACACTCTATAAAAAATTCAAAGGAAGTATGAGAGATGGCTCAGCATTGAAGAGCATGTCCTGCTCTGAATTCGGCTTCAGCACCCAGGTGGGGTGACTCACAACCAGCCGTAACTCTAGCTCTTGGGATCTGACGTTCTCTTCTGGAGTTTGGGAACATGCACATGTGCAGCATACACTCACAGACACACACTCAGCACTCAAAAATAAAATGTCTTTTAATTGATATGAAAGGATGATTCCCAGCTCTGGAACTAGTTAGTCAGTAACTAGGAGGGAAGAGGGAAGGAGGAGAGGAGAGAAGGAGGGGCAGGGAGCATCTATAAGACAAGCCTACAAGAATGGGAACAGGCAAGAAAGTGCAGATTCACCGCACCTCAAACACAAACAAAGCAAGTTCAGCAGAATTAGAAATATTACAGCCTTGCTGGGATTTTTCCCTAGAAAAGGTAAAGATGGCATGATATAACTCTCGATATTATTATTATTATTATTATTATTTGGTTTTTCGAGACAGGGTTTCTCTGTGTAGCTTTGGAGCCTGTCCTGGAACTCACTCTGTAGCCCAGGCTGGCCTCGAACTCACAGAGATCTACCTGCCTCTGCCTCCCGAGTGCTGGGATTAAAGGTGTGCACCACCACCACCCAGCTCGATATTATCTTATAAAAAGTGAAATATCAGCTGGGGTTGTAGAGTGCTTACCTAGCAGCACAAGGCCTGTAATTGATTCCCCAGCATATTAAAAAAAAAAAAAAGTCTACCTTACAGCATTTTCAACAGATGCAGAAGAAGTCACATGAAAAAATTTCAGTCATCATTTTGGGAGGAGGAAGGGCATTAGCAAACTAGGGATATAAGGAAATTCAAGATGACAAAAGAACTACAGCAAGCTTTCTAGTCAGCAGCAAAGGATAGAAGACAGTATTCAGACACAGTAAGGACAAGTATTCTCATTGATACTATTTAACCCTGAGGAATCAGCCAAAGATAGAGGAGAAAAACACAAAGATACTTGAAAGAGAAAAAAAAAAAAACCTCGCATGTGCTTATGACTATTAACTTAGGTGTACCAGAGAGCCCACTAACAAATGGAGATACTATGGTTCAGCAAGACTGTCAGGCACAAAAGAATACAAAATTAATCACTTTTAAAAACAGACAACAGTCATTTATAATTGTGAGTGCCTTAAAAAGCATAGAAAATGTTTGTAAAGAAAACCACTAAATTTTACTGAAGAGACAAAGGTCTTAGTGCCAACTGTCTTTCTTTGGTAGCTTGAAAGAATGTCCTCCAAAGGGGGTCATAGAGTTGAAATCTTGGTCCCCAGTTAGTATCACTGGAGGTAGGCTTTGAGGTTTCCAAAGACTGGAGCCATTCCCAGTGCGTTCCCCTCTGTCCTGTCTGTCTGTCTATCTGTCTGTCTGATGGTTGTGGATCATGATGTGCACCCTCAGCTGGTCCCTCACCCCACCATTATGGATTCTAACCCTCTGAAACCGTAAGCCAAATTAAATGATTTTTCTTACAAGTTGCCCTGGTCATAGTGTTTCATCAAAGAAACAGAAGAGTAACTAAGACATTTTCTTTCAGGGGAAATTCAACAGGTTCCTGGTGCATAGCATTAATAAAAATCAGTTCTAAATTAATTTTGGTCTTCTCTGTGCTTGGTCATGAGAATTCATTTTAGTAAGTCATGCTTAAGAAGGCGGGCAGTGGCTTCAATTCTGTATTGGCAGGAACTGAATATCCAAGTGTAATGAGTTAAATTGATTATAGGACTGTCCCTGACCTGCACTGAAATCTGGGCAAAGGAAGTATTTGGTGCCAAGTATCTAACCTGGCAGTGAGTCTGAAGTTTATTCAATGAGAAGAGATCACTGTCCCTGATTGACAAGGTGCCTATTGAAATAACCCAGAGGCCCCCCAAGTTTAATGCCTTATCTAGTTAAGCTTAGATGACATCCAACCAGAAAGATGACCCCGGACAGAGCTCTTCTCCAGCTGCATGCTTCAGAGTGTAGAGGAATCTGGACCCAGCACAGACCCCTGCAGGGCCTACGACTGAGGAAGGGAGTGTGCTTGAACCTCAGCCTGCCCCAAGGCGCGCAAGTGTGATGAAAGTCTCGGGCCTCCAGGTACTGCTCCCCATTCTTATAACAGAATGCCAGGCAGGAAATGTTTCCACTCCAGGAAGCATTGGCCTGGGAAATCCCCAGACTGCCTGCTGCCTGTCATCACAGCAGCCTGCAGAATGATGAGGATCCTGAACTCGGCGTGACCCTGGGATCTCTAGTAGTCTGGCCTGATGGTCAGTGAACAACAGCTTCTGTTAGCCAACCGCCCTACCCAGAGAGCTCACTCCCCACGTCTGACTGGCAAGGCGTCGTCAAGTCCCAGTCCCAGCACTGAAAACAACAGCCCGCTTTTTACCGGCCTGCTGTGTCTCTACGGGCCTGGTTTTGCCTTTTTTATGCTCCCAACATTACTGTCTTTGTTTTATTCTTTGGATGACCTTCAAAGTCCTGGTCCCCACACTGAAATTCTACATTCTAGAAGATACTAGTTGAGGGAGGCAACTTACATTGGGCTCCAAGGAGGGTAAGGGTTTGGGAGAGGGAGGCTGGCTTCTCTTACCTGCGCCGTTGGCAACGAGGATGCTCTCCATCCCTGCAGACCTCCCCCTGCATCAGTGCTGCTGAGGTCTCAGCCCTGCCCGCTGCGGGAAGATGGAAGGAAAGAGAAAGAATGGTCCGTGGCACAGTCAAAACCCATTTTCCCAGCGCTCTCCCATCTCACAGCCCATGCTTTTTTTCAGAGTTCTATCGGCTCCCTCGGGTGAAATGTGCAGATGGGAAGGGAAGCGGGCACAATTCTCACGGACAAAGAGGAAACTGGGCCTGAGAGAGGCCTTGATGCGCCCAGAGACACAGAGATGGCTAGACAGCTGAATGTGTGCAAATTCCCTAACTCCCACACCAAAGCCTCAGAGTCCATACCCTCAGCATGGGTAGAGGGCATACGAAGGGCATGGCACCCGAGAGCCAGGTACCCCAGGTAAGGTTAGATATGGGGGACCTGTTCAAGAAGACACCTGGAGGGGCTGGGGATGTGACTGGCAGAGGGCTCGGCTAGCATGTGCAAGGCCTGGAATTCTATCCCAACACTATCACCAACACTAAGACAACCCCAGGAAGGCAGACCATCTCCCACACTCCCTACGTCAGTGGAAAATTCTTCCGATATCCTAGAACAAACCCCTCCATGACATCTCACAGCTGCTGTCGCCGCCTCCACCGCCACCGCCACCACCACCACCACCACCACCACCACCACCACCACCACCACCACCACCACCAAGAATGCAGGCTCACCACTCCCTAGTTCCAGATCTAGCATTCACCAATCTTATTTTACAATCGTCTTTTGAACTTCTCCAACTGCCTCCCTTTATAGCTGGGGTACGGCTTGAGACAGACCACACAGCTGCTTGGATGCCCCAGGCTTTGACCCCCCTCTGCTCTGTTCATCCCTACAATCTCTGCCTATCTCACCCTTCCTTCTTTCTGCTTAAGCATCACCTTACCAGAGCAGCTGGCTTGCCCCAGGACCCCTCACTGTTCGTTTCCATCCCCTCAGTTTAGGAGAGTGTGGGGCACTGTCCTGTGTAGGCCAGGCTGGCCTTGCTTGTCATGCACTCAAGGATGACCTTCAGTTTACGGCCTCCAACTCCCATCTCCCTCATGACCCCGTCACAGACCCGGGCCACCAGGCCTGGCTTTCTATGCGGTCTAGGGACAGAACTCAAGGCTCCCAGCATGCTCTGCACCCACTCTACCAACTGAGCTACATTCCCCAGCTCGCCTCCAACGTGTTTGACCACCTGACAGGCTCTGTGTATCCCCAAACACGCTGCCTGGCTTTGAGCTGTGGCTCACAGGTGGGCTCGTGCCGTCCACCACGCTGGTGTGACTGTCTCTCCTAAGGTTAGGGTCCAGCTTCACCCAACAATTCCCCCTTAGCACAACCAGGACTTTGTGGCTGGCTGCCCTATGGAAATTCAGAGCTGGTTTCACCCAGCCCCAGACAGGGACTTCTTGGCACCTTTGTCTGGGTTATCTGCACTAGAAAACCAACTCTGGGCCCTGGAGACCAGCCCTCAGGTATGACGTCCCCCATGCCACCTCCCCGAGTTTGTCCTGGGGGTGCTTCCCCAGACTAGAAATCAGAGCCCTGACCAGAAATACGAACCCCAGATGCAAGGCAGGGAGGAAATATTTCCTTTTCTCGGAGCATCTTCTTTAGAAATTTCTAGTTGCTAAGCTCTGGCTCTGTCCTCTCTAAACAAATGTAAATCTTTTCAAAGCTAAATAAGCCTCTAAATAAGCTTGACAACCCACTGTCTTCTTCAAGGGTCGGGAGCCATCCACTGGAGATAAAGCAGGCAGGAAGCCAGAGGCCTCTCTCCTCAAGGAAGTTGGATGCCTCCCTCCAGCAGGCTGGCACCTGGGCAGCAAACTTTTTTTTTTCTGTCATAAAAATATGACGTTTACCTTCTGCTCTCTCCTCCACCCGCTCCCTGCACGTGTCTTTCACAGGTCTGGTCACTCTCTTCTGTCCTACCCCCCCCCCAATAAAGCTCTGATACTGGGGGAAAAAATGATGCTTATTTTTAATTTGGAAAAGGGCAATTATCTAACAGATCGTCACCCCAACGACCAGCTGGACTCATAATGAGGGGCATGTGACATGTGACATCCTCCTGCCTGACGACCAGCCATGGTTTTTGTGAGAACATGATTGTGCAGTGGGAGGCATCTTCCTAGGCTACATCTGGAGCTTGATTTCCACTGTCTGGCCAAGCTATCATTCGTACTAATATTTATCCAATGGCGGAGGGGGGCGACCTTTCTTTCTCCTTTACCCCTGTGGGAACTCTTCTGTGGAGGCAGCAGGTTTTGTTTGCAGTTCTGTCTCCGCATGGGGGTCTGGGAAGCACTGTCACTGCATTTTCTCATAGACACTGACAACCACTGGAGGCAGAGAGGAGGGAGCAGCAGGAAGCCGAAGCAAGCCCTACCTGAGGGACATCTGGGGACTGGAGCTCCCTCTTGCCCACCACCCGTTACCTCCAGGTCCCTCTATTTATGTAAGTGAGTTTCTGCATCCCACACCTTGGAGACCACCTAGATCTAGAGGCCTAGAGGACCATAAACGGAGGTCACCTGGCCAGACTGAGAGAGTGCGGGCCTGGAATGCAGAACAGAGCAAGAGGGTCAGGAGTCAGCCTACACCATACCTGAGAGACCCTAAACCGTCCAGTCAGAGCACCCCTAAACTGCCCAGTCAGAGCACCCCTAAACTGCCCAGTCAGAGCACCCCTAAACTGTCCAGTCAGAGCACCCCTAAACCACCCAGTCAGAGCACCCCTAAACCGCCCAGCCAGAGCACCCCTAAACCGTCCAGTCAGAGCACCCCTAAACCGCCCAGCCAGAGCACCCCTAAACCGCCCAGTCAGAGCACCCCTAAACCGTCCAGTCAGAGCACCCCTAAACCGCCCAGTCAGAGCACCACTTCACCCACTCTGGCTTCTAAGAACTATTTCAAAAGTGGAACCGGAAGGGTTTTGGTTCCTGGTGACCCAGCCTGAGCACTGCCAGGCCACACCAGGCAGGAAGGGCAATCTTCTGCCCTGGTCACTGTCAAGGAAGCCCGTGACCCCATCCTCAGATCCGTGTGGGTTTGGGTGATGCACATCCTCTTCCCCAGGGGAGAGCCAAGAACCTCCTTGGCACAGAGGTACAGATGTCAGGAAGGGCAATCTTCTGCCCTGGGTCTCAGCAGGAACAGACATGGGAAAAGAAGGAAGGAGACCCACACAGGCCCAAAGGGATGAGGGAGAGAGATGAGGGGGATACAGAGAAGACAGAGATACGTGGAGGCAGGCCATGTCTTTTGAGACCTACTCCCTGTATGCTCAGGTGTTACATGTCTGCAGAACACAGGCTGGGCAAGCCAAGCCCAGGGTAGGTCACACACGGCCACTCTCGAGTCCTCCATGCCTCCATGCCACACCCTCCCAGTGTGTCTCTCATTCCACCTATCACTCTGCCGCGCCATTTACATTGTCCCTCCCCATAACCCACCTGACACACCAGCCAGCTGACAGGAGAGACACCCAGGAAGCAAGTGAGCAGCAGGCTTTCCACCTGAACACCCTAGCAAGACATAGGAGCTAAGGGGCAGGTGCACCCCCACACACTACTTCCTATATAGCCAAGAGACAGGAAGACAGGCTGGCCTAACCCCAGTCTTGACCCTCTCTTCTTTCCATCACCACGAGAACTGCGAGGACAGGACATACACAAGGTAAGGCCTCTGACCACGGTTTGGCTGTGAACTCCCCTGATGGGAAGTCCCCAGCCATCAGCTGCTCTGCCATCTGCAGAAACACAAAGAGGGGACTGTGGCCTGCAGCAGGCGGTGAGGGCTGGGACACGGGGGAATAACGAGGGACGTTGGTGTCAGCACAGACCGAAGTGCACGGGGTGAAGAAGAGGAACTGAGGTGAGGCCCAGTGACAGAGACAAGCAACTCAGGGGCCCGTCCAGGTCTCCCCACTCACCCCTCCCACAATGCAGGCCCCTGCCCGGGAATGGAAGTGAGAAGTGGACGGCACTTCGGTACTTCGTATCTCGTCATCCAATGACAAAAGCCCGGCCACTGGCTTTTCTCAGCCCAGAGGTCCCACGAGGTCCCAGTCCTGTTGAGCTCTCATCTACACCAAGGACCCTTTACCTTCCCAGGAGACCCAGGCAGGCGACAGCCCGCCTCAGGGCCCTCCCCACCTGTCCTCTCCCCCACTTCCCTTTCTGGCAAACACATCTTTCCCAGCCCTCACTGACCCTGCCGGGCCTCAGGGCACCCACCAGTGACATCATCCTTCTGCCTGCCTTCCCTGCTTGCCAGCCAGCCTCCCAGGGGACTGCCAGAAAACAGGGACGGCATCTGCAGAGGGACAGGGGAGAGTAACATCTGTACCTCTGTGCCAAGGAGGTTCTTGGCTCTCCCCTGGGGAAGAGGATGTGCATCACCCAAGCCCACACGGATCTGAGGATGGGGTCACGGGCTTCCTTGACAGTGACCTGGGGAAAGAGAGAAGAGCTGTCAGCACGAACAAGGAGAATGTCCCCAGCTGCTAAAACTGACAAGTATCAAGCACTCAGCCAGCAAAGCCCACACTGTCCTTTAGCTAAGGAAATCCTGCCTGGGTCATGTAAACGGTGGCATCAGGATAGATGGGGGGTGAGATGGAGCACTCTCCAAAACCATGTAGCCTCCAGGAGAAGGTACGAGACTTACCTGGAGGGCACCAGCAGCCAAGACAACCCTAAACTCCCCGTCCCTCGTTTTCAGGAGTTTGCCTTCTATGCCCAAATGTGCTTATTTAAATTCAGAAGAGCTGGAAAGATGGTTCCTAGGTTAAGAGCACTGGCTGCACTTCCAGAGGACCAGGGTTCAACTCCCAGCACCTACATGGCAGCTTACGCTGCCTGTAACTTCAGTTCCAGGGGATCTGACACCCTCACACAGACATACATGCAGGTGAAACACCAATGCCCATAAAATAAAAATACACAAACCATCAACAGATACAATAACAAGCATCCTTAAATTCAAATAAATTAACTTTTAAAATTCAGTTTCTCAGCCGGGCATTGGTGGTGCACGCCTTTAATCCCAGCACTCGGGAGGCAGAGGCAGGCGGATCTCTGTGAGTTCGAGGCCAGCCTGGGCTACCAGGTGAACTCCAGGAAAGGCGCAAAGCTACACAGAGAAACCCTGTCTCGAAAAAACAAAAAAACAAACAAACAAAAAAAAAAAATTCAGTTTCTTAAGCATGCTGGTCACATGCAAGTGCTCAAAGGCCACATGTGCTTGTCCCACTGTGACTGACAGCCAAGGCCACTGCTGTCTTCCTGGGGGGTGAGATCTAGGAGGGCAGAGCCTTGCCCTGCTGGAGCCCTGACACAAAAGAGCCCACACACACTGAATTGGGTAGTTAAGGTGAAGACTTAAAGCAGACACTCCCTGGCTCCAGTCCCTTGTCATCACCAACACATTGACTCTGTCTGGAATGGATTTCAGTCAAACAAGACCAACGGCCAACAGGAAGCTGAGAAACACAACCAAGTGCACACACGAGCAATACCCCCTATCCAAACCAGCTGAGCAAACACAAGTTCAAAGACACAGAACGGATACCTGCCACACTGCACACTAACCCTTCCCCCACAGTGTGCTTTCCAGATCCAGTGAGCCATGGCCAACCTCACCTGGCAGAATAGAAAAGACCTTTTGAGAGACCCAAGAATCCCATGACATTTATTACAGCACACTGTCATAACTGTTATATTGTAACATTTATTGATCTTACCCTCTCTGTCTAATGTATAAAGTAGACTGTCAGATGTATGTGCGGAAAAGACTGAGTACAGTCCAGTATTAGCTGCAGTTTCAAACACGCACTAGGAGCTGGGCAACACTGCAGCGTGTCCTCCAGACACGTGGAGGGCTGGAGGACCGGACTTGTAAACACAGGAAAGTGTCTTAAAACAGGCATGGGGGCTGGAGAGGTGAGTGGGTAGATAAGAGCACTTGCCGCTCTTGCAGAGGATGGGGTTCCGTTCCCAGCACCCACATGATGGCTGACACCGGTGTGTAACTCCAGTTCCAGGAGATCTGACTCCTGCTCTGGTCTGCATGCATGTATGTGGTGCATAGAGATAGACACAGGCAAAGCACCCGGACACATAAAGCAACACTGAGTCTTTTTAAAAAGATGCATTTCCTGACATACTAGCATTATTGGAGAGATGGCTCAGAGGTTAAGAGCACTGACTGTTCTTCCAGAGGTCCTGAGTTCAATTCCCAGCAACCACATGGTGGCTCACAACCATCTGTAATGAGATCTGGCGCCCTCTTCTGGCGGGCAGTCATACATGCTGTATACATAATAAATAAATCTTAAAAAAAAAAAAAAAAGATGCATTTCCAGCATCATACAGGCATGCCGATGTGAGGCACATCATCACAAATCAATACACGGTCCACTTGTGACAACAGAAACAAAAGCAATCATGATAAAGTCTTCTCAAATTGAATGTAGTAGGACCTTCATGTAATCCAAGCTTTCAGTAAACAGGAACCCCAGGAGTTCAAGGCCAACCTAAGCTATATTTCAGGTTCAACACTAGCCTGGGTTACATAAAACCCTATCTTTAAAATTTTTTTTTTAAGTCTTTGAATATCCAGAGCCATATTAACACACATTCACTCCAAGAAACAGAATTTAGGGAGGGAGGAAACCCTGAGTTGCCTTATGGGACATGATGACTAGAATGTGCCCAGCAGTCCGTGCAGTGTGAGCTCATCCAGGGGCTAGCCCACACAGAAGCAGCAGGTCCTTACCCCTCTACCCACTTTCGGTGAGCTCAGTTACCCCAAGTCTAAATCATCAGCCCAAGTTTCTCCCTTGAGCCCACACCAAGGCTGGCAAAGTTCTTCCAGGCCTCCACATCACACCTAGAACGGGAATCAGGAACCCATCCCGGGCCACCTGTCACCAATTCTGAGTTCAGTTCTCACTGTTTCTCACCTAACTGACTTTAAAAAGTCAGTGAGAGCACTTAATACATCAGTTCTCGACCTGTGGGTCGCCTAAGACCATGAGAGAACACAGATACTTATAGTCCGAGTCTGACAGTGGCAAAATCACAGTTATGAAGTAGTAACTTCGAAACAGTTTATGGCTGGGGGTCACCACATGAGGAACTGTATTCAAGGGTTGCAGCCCTAGGAAGATGGAGAACCACTGGCTGAGTGGGTAAAAGTGCTTGACATGTAAACCTGTTGACCTAAGTTTGATACCCAGAACCCATGTGATCCACGTGGTGGAGTGTGAGAGCCAACTCCCAAAACTAACTCTCTCTCTCTCTCTCTCTCTCTCTCTCTCTCTCTCTCTCTCTCTCTCTCTCTCTCTCCCTCCCTCCCTCCCTCCCTCCCTCCCTCCTTCCCCCCCCACACACACAAAATAAATACAATCTGAAAGTTTTACTGATTTTCTTGGTCCCTCCAATCCATCTGCCACCCAGAACCCAAATACTTTTCTAAAACTGCAATTTGGACATTTTTCTCCCTTAACATGCTTCAAGGGCTCCCAGACACTTGGAGATTTAGCCAGAACGTCTTGGCAAGGTCATTCAAAATTTAGTCTCTGGTTACCTTTCCCCATTGTCCCATGTATGCTATGACCCAATACCCAGATTTCTTGTCTCCTCACCCACCCGCAACCTCTGACCTGTCTTGCAGTGACCTTGCCCATACCCCTTTCCGGCCCAAATCAGGGGTCACTTTGCCGGAGACAGACACCTTTTGGAGACACAAGCTAATGTTTCTGTGTCATCCAAACAAGTACTCAGGGTAACTGTCATCATCAGTGTTTTCTGTTATCAGAGGAGATCAAACACATCCTAATACAGGATGCCTCTCCCGCAGCACACAATCCAGGCGCAGCCTTGTAGACCATTACAAAACACGGTTATGAGGGCTCACTTAAATAAATGTCAGTTCGTCAGCCACAACTGATTGGTAGAAGCACAGAATCATGGAACCTTGGAATTGACAGGACACAAATGCTATGGAATGTTTTCATGCAATTGCTGAACACAGGTAAAAAACAAAACCGAACAAACAAAAATGCGGAGCCTGGATTGTCACTTGCCTCCAACCTCAGGTGACCACACCCAGCCTCCGCTGCAGCTGGAGACCATTCCGGACTCTAGGTCGCCGGACACCACACCCACTGAAGCTGCTGCAAGCATTTTACTTGAATAGTCTCGGGAACCCCCTCCCCCGAAAACGCGCACACAGCTGTAACTTCTGTGTGTTTTTCTCTCGCTTGTTCTCCACCTCCATCCTCATCCCAGGTCACCGAATCGCTCACTTAGGGATCACCTACTCGGAGTCTTTCTGTAACCAACACTGGGGTTCCTGTCTCCAGAAGCGCGTCTCCGCGGGGGTGGGGGTGGGGTGGGCAGACAGAGAACTCAGAACAACCAGAGGGGCCGCGCGTAGACTCTCCGCTCTCCAACGGTCCGACCCCTTGACCTCGCTGCCCTGGCCTGCCGCCCCCCAGCCAGCCTCAGGTCTCTCCCCGCTGCGCTAGGCAGGGTGCTGGTGGTGCAGAAAGTTGGGGCCTGGAACTGAGGTGCGCGCGGGACTCAGGGCACCTCAGGGCCCGGGACCCATCCTTCCTCTACAGCCCGGGACAGCAGAGCAGCACCGGAGCAGCGGCCGGGCGCTGGTCCATCCCTGCACCGCCCCTCCTGCCTGGAATGCACAGGGACTCGGGGTGGGGAAGGGGGGGCTGGGAAATAAATACCTTTGACTTTGTAGCTAAGGTTAACGGGAACTGCTACCCAAGGGGCGACTTGGGCACCCGGCTCCCGGCCACGGCCAGTCCCGGGGCAGGCGGGGCGGGCAGGCGCCCGTGATTGGCTGGCCGCCCTGCATAGCCCTGTCTGCGGATTGGCTGTGCGGCTCAGATGACAGTCCCGGCCCTATCGGAGCAGCCCGCGGGGCGGCCCCTTTGTTCTCCGGAGCCAATAGCCAGGGTCTGACCTCGCCCGCGGACGAGCGTCCCTGAGCGGTCAATCTTTGCGCCGAGCACTGCTGGGATGAGAACGGTGGTCTCCGGCGGCGTCCTGGGCTGGGCGATATTACGTCGTCCTCCCCTGTCCACCGGGTGCCTCGGATCTGCCCGCCTTTGCGTGCTCTGCCTCCCGCACAAGCGCGTGTTGACATCTGAACTCGTAACATAGGTGCGGGGTCCGGCAGTAGCTAGTATTCTCGTGGTGCTACTGGTGTCGGTCCTGGGAAGCCGTCGCGGGCCACCACTGTTAGGAGCCCTCTCGAGAGTATGTCCATTTTAGTGTGACCCTTTTTCTTTATTCCCTGAGAGCTGTGTTCAGGTGACACTGCACACGCCCGCCTGTTAAACATTGCAGGACTCTTGTACCTCATGAGTATGCGATGAGCCATGGTCAGCAGCACCTCAGCAGACCACAGTCATGATAAACGATGTTTGGTGCTGTCTGGGAGTGGCCTTGGAAATCCTTGATTTTTCTAGCTGAGGAAACAGGTCTGAAGAGGTTACTTTACCGCAACAGGTTTCACTGCACTCTAGGGTTCAGTTGAGTGAAATATCTTCAAGCTGCTAACCCGGTCCAGGCCACCAAGGAAGGTGACTGTTTCCAAACACCTTCAGGGAAGTGTTTTCATCTCCAACCACTTCCATTCATCTGAAAGAACTCCTCCCACTCCTGCCTTTAGTTGGGTCAAAGTTGGGTAAATTCTCTCACTCCGGGCTTAGGAACCACGGTGGGGTCAACTGGAGAGAAACTGCATTTTCTCTCCAGAGCTACTTTGAAGGTGCATTTGGAACCAAGGTGGATGACTTCCAACGACCCCTGCCATGGGACCAATCTGCAGCTGATCAATCTGGGCTTGCTCTACGCCCAGTTGCTGTCCAGCTCTTAAGCATAATAGAAACTGGGGTGGAATTTCTACCCATTTTCCCACTGACTTCACGTGCAGTCATCACAAGAGAGACTTCTCTGTTTCTGGACTTTGACGTATTTGTCTGTGAAACAGATGAATAATTTTCCACCTGCTTGTATCTTTCTGGATTTTCATTCCTCTCTGAGCAGCATTCTAGTTCCAGATCTTCCACCAGCTAGTGTGGCCCTGGAACAGCAAGCAATTCCATTCTGGAGTGCAAGATTGAAGCACATCTGGGAGTATTTCCCACCAAGCCAAAACAGGGCAGCTGAAAATGCACAAAAAGAAATGGCTGGGAGAAAATCCTTTGAACTTCAGGTATGAAGAGAAAGAAGGGCCAAGAGGGATATGTAAAGCACTTAAAGAGAAGTTGCATGTGGTGGTGCTTGCTTGGAATCCCAGTGCTTGGGAAGTAAAGTTCAGAGGATCAGTAATTGAAGGCCAGCCTACCTTACATAGTGAGTTCAAGGCCAGCCTGGAGCTATGTTATATCCTGTCTCAAAACAAAACAAAACTACATGGGTGTTGATACACATACATATATACACACACAGGGAGAACCTGCATTATAAAATTTGTGTGTATGTGTATGGGAAATGCATGTGAAGGCCAGAGGACCCCAGCAGGTATCTTCAGGCACCTGCTATCTTCTCAAGACAGGGTCTCTAATTGGCCTGGAACTTCATTAAGTAGCCTAGGCTGAGGTGACCAGCAAGATGCAGGGGTTGCACTACCTGTGGGATTACAACTGTGAGCCACCACACTCAGCTTGTCAAATGGCCCCTGGGAGCCAAACTCCGGCCGGTCCTCATGCTTGAAAGGAATATGTTCGACAAACCGAGCTATCTCCCCAACCTCAATATTATGTAACCAATAGCAGCACACAAATTTACTTTTTTTTTGATATGTAGTGGAAGTCAAGAGTGAGAGGGGAGCTGGGGAGATGGCTGACTAATTAAGACTAATTAATGCTGCTCTTGGAGAAGACGGGTTTGGTTTCTAGAGCTCACACAGTGGCTCACAACTGTCTCATAACTCCAGTTCTAGAGGGTCTAATACCCTCTTCTGGTCTAGCTTCCACAGGCACCAGGTACACACATGTACACAGACATACATGAAGGCAAATACATACACATATACATCTCTAAGAGAAAAGGGGGCAGGAGCAGACAGACGAGTCTCAGTCAGCCTCTAGTAATCAGCATTGCAGGATCATGTGCGAGCGTTTGCATGAATTTAAGGGGAGAAGAGCATCCAGAGCAGCCCATCAGCAGGATCAGGTAGAACTTCTTAGCAAAGTGCATTCCCAAAAGGTTAGTTATTCTTCTGCACCACTCTGTGTAGGGATTGATGCAGCTCACAGGCAAGGGGCCTATGGATGCCCCACAAGAGCAGCATTCAGCTGTGTGTGAAACTATTCATGGTGGGCTTGCAGCAACCTGCCAGGGAATCCCTTTTCCCCGTAGGGAACCTGCTGATTTTGAGTTGACCCCAGAGAAGGCTGTGCTCATGTGTGGATCTGTAATCAGTGTGGGGGTGTTAGCTGAAAGCTCTTTGCTGCTCAGAACACCTCTTTTCCCAGAGACTTTTTTTTTTTTTCATAACAACCTGACAAAGCTGCAGATGTGACCGCAGTATGTAAGGTTCACCATCCTTCCAAGGAAGCTCTCAGTGACGTGACATGAAGGCTGAAGTTGGAAGAAAGCAATGATAGTCTCGGGCCCAACATTCCAAGACCTTGATTCCAAAGTAAGCATGTCTGTTCTCTGGTGCTTTTGCACACACCTGAATTTGCTCAAGCTCAGGTATGTCTAGCTCTGCCTCCAGGAAGGACTGGGAGGAAAGTATAAGGCACTCAGCTGCTGTCAAAGCTCCCAGAGCCTGACTTCTTTGTTGGAAACAGAGTGATGTCCCTTCCCCTGTCACATAGCTCCCACAGAAAGGAACACAGCCAGCCACTAGTTCTAAAACCAAATCTTTATTCTCTAGTTTGAAAAGGAGGGTAAATGGTTCTTTTTCGGTCCAGAGAACAAAATAAGACCCAGTGGGCAGAAATCATAGGAAAGCAGAATCCAATCATTATAAGTAAGGATTTCTAACAATTCGAATCACCCTACAATAGAACCAGTGCCTCTGGAGGTAAGAGTGCCCCAGCACCGAGGTGCGCGGGTGGAGGCTGCATCCACACCCGGGAAACCTTAAAAAGGAAATCTACCCAGGACCTTCCCTGCAGTCAAACCTCCAGCATCAGAGGGCTAGGCTTTCCCAGAACTCCTGAAGCTCTGGAAAGAGTTGGGGAGAGCCAGGGGTTTAAACGAAACCACCAGGGAAGCCCTCTACTCGGGGAGGAAGGGCAGATAAAGCCAGGCAGGTGAAGGAGTAAATAAATGCCCTGGGAGGATAACCTGCAAGTGGATGGAGTTGCTAACCGAGGATGGGCCTCGACACCTCTAGGTACCTGTGCAGGAGGCATTGCAGAAGGGTACTGGTTAAAAAAAGAAAAAGGAAAAAGAAACAGCTCAGCTTCACCTCTCCGGCTGCCTGACAAGGCCAGCAGCAGGCTCACCAAGGTGTATCCAGCTGGCACACTTCCCTGCCCCGGGATTCATTTACTAGTGACTACACCACACCTACTTCCAAAAAATGACCTGAAGTAACTCATAGTGAAGACTGGGACATTAAGGCGTCAACACCAGGGGTGGAGTAGCTCCCTTCCCACTGGTGGCTCCTCTAGCCGAGGATTCAAAGGGTAGATGGAGCTGCTATTGCTACTTTTCCAGGGTACAGGGCAGTCTGAGTAGACCTTACAAAAACCAGGTGGGGGCCTGCTACCTCAAAGCCAGGTCCCTGCATTCTAAAATGGGTTCCTTGACCACCCGGGGAAACTCCAATCCTGAACAGAGCCCACATCACTCCGCCTCTTCTATCCCCCTGGGATGCCCTCCAGCCGTGTCAGTGAAGGCACCCCACACGGGCCCCCTGCCCGCTGTTGCCAAGGACATCCAGGCCTGTTTCCCTCAGCCTATGGCCCCTCTTAGGCATCGTGCTGCTTCTGGTGCATCAAGAGTCGATCCTCGTCGTCAAAGGTCTGACCGCAGATGGCACAGCAGAAGGCACCATCCCGGATGTGGCTTTTCCGGTGTGTGATAAGGTTGGACTTCTGGCTGAAGCTGCGGTCACAGTCCGGGCAGGCGTAGGGCCGCTCGCCCGTGTGGATGCGCCGGTGCGACACCAGGTTGGACTTCTGACTGAAGGCTTTGCCACAGTCTGGACACACGTAGGGCTTCTCGCCGGTGTGGATGCGCCGGTGTGCTGCCAGGTAGGGCTTGTGGCGGAAAGCCTTGCCACAGTCGGGGCACACGAAGGGCCTCTCCGGTGCGTGGTCGCGCCGGTGGGCTGCCAGGTGGCTGCCCTGTGAGAAGCGGCGCCCACACTCCTCGCAGGCGAAAGGCCGCTCACCCGAGTGCACTCGCGAGTGAGCAACCAAGTGGGTCTTCTTGCCGAAGTTCTTGCCGCACTCGGGGCAGGTGAAGGGCCGCTCGCCTGTGTGCTGTCGCTGGTGCAGCCTCAGGAAGCGCTCGAGACGGAAGCTGCGGCCACAGTCGGCGCAGCTGTGCAAGGGCACTGATGCCTCTGCCGGGGTCCGCGGGGACCCCAGGGGAGCCCCAAGTGCGGGCTGCACCATGAGCTCCGTTGTAATCTGGGGACTCCCGGCGCCCAGGGCGGCCTGCGCTGAGACCTCTGAGCGCTTGTGGATTTTGCTGTGCGACAACAGGTTGGGTTTGTGGCGGAAGCGGCGGCCACACTCGGTGCACGGGTAGGGCTTCTCGCCGGTGTGTATGCGCCGGTGCGAAGTTAGGTAGGGCTTGTTGGTGAAGCGTTTCCCGCACTCTGGGCACTGGTGTGGTCGCTCGCCAGTGTGCACACGGCGGTGGGCGATCAGGTTGGGCTTGTGACGGAAGCGCTTGCCGCAGCAGGCACACTGGAAGGGGCGGTCCACGGCATCTCCGCCCGGCCTGGGGGCAGCCACTGCCGGGCGACCTCGGGGCCGGGGACCTAGGGCCTTGGCTGCTGCCTCCTCCAGGGCCTCAGTGACGTGCACCCGCTTGTGAACAACCAGCTGGTCCCACTGGGCAAAGCTCCGACCACAGTTGCCACATATGAAGGGCCTAGCCTCAGGGACAGGGGGATGGCACCTCTGCAGGTGGGCTCGAAGCTGCTTTTGTCGCCAGAAGCGCCTGTCACATTCGGGACAAGTGATGGGCCGCTTTGCAGCTGAGTGAGCCCGGAGGTGTAGTACCAGGGCTACCCAGCCTTGGAAGCTATGCCCACAGAGGTGGCAGGTGAAACCCAGATCAGGGGTGGCAGAGGCATGAACCTGAAGGTGCAGCGCTAAGAAGGGGGCGTGGCGAAAGCGCTGGTTGCACTCGTGGCAGGGCAGCGGCAGCCTGGCCTGGCACCGCCGAGTGTGAAGCCACAGGGCCACCCAGCCCGGGAAGCGCCTCCGACAGTGGGCACAGCGATGGGCCTTGCCTGGTGCTTGGCCTCCTGGCTGAGCTACTGACTTGCCCTGGTGCCTCAACCCTCTTTCGGGCTGGGGGGACTCCTGGGAGGGCCCAGAAAGGAGCCTGGGCTGGACTGGGCCCATGGCCATGGTGCCCCTGCAGCGCCGTTCCAGCATCGGTTCTTCCTCGGCTGGGGGTGGAAAGGCACAGTCACTGCACGAGCTGACCCCCGTTTCTCCCTCCCACCCCTAGAAAGGCTGCCCTCTAGGAACTGCTAGCACCATTCTATTCTATATGCTGGTATTGAGTTTCTAAACAACATTTCAAGGATCTTTATATCTTTACTGCCTTGGAAACTTCCAGAAGGGAGACATGCTGTCACTCCTTGGGATTCTCACAGGGTATTCCCTAGTGTCAGGAGGGCTTACAGAGAATACTCCAGCGTCTCCCTACTGTGCCTGACCTATTGCGAACCCGCCTGCTGCCTTTCCCGTGGCAACCCTTTTCTACCCCATGAGAGCTCTCCACTTGACACGTGAGGCGAGTGTGGGGCTTTAAATGGTGGTAGTACTTGCCTGACACTGGAAACCACTAGCAGACCAAAGCTGAGGGGACAGGTCTTGTGAACCCCCAGACCAGTATGTGTTCCTCTTAACACTGAGGTGTGCAAAGATCTTAAAAACCATCTGGCTAAAGCCTTGAGGGAGGTACTTTCAGCCTCCCCACCCTCAGCTCTAAGCCTGGAGGAAGTGGGAACCGCCTTCCCTCACGAGGGGAGCAAGGTGCCTCTCCCAGCACAGACTAATGCCAGGCCACCACCTGTCCAGACTGCCCACATTCTGCCTACCAGCCCTTGTCACCCACACCCAAGCCATTACGATTGGGACACTGGGGAAGGAACGTGCTTTCCAATCCAAGGAGCACCCACAGTCTGCTGTGGGGAGGGAGGGGACAATCCCTGGTTCAGCATCTCTCAGGGGTACGAGGGATTGTTGGGGTAAGGAAGGGGAGGGAAGAGAGACTGTGATCTCTGTTTCCCTTGCCTGGTGCTGCCCAAACCTGGCCAAGGACTGTCCCATATTCAGCTATACCACAGCAGGGGAGCCCAGATGCCAGAGCTGCACAGAGTGAGTTCTGGGGTGGCAGTGAGACTCCCCAGGGACCGGTCACGCCTGCTCAGGAGCTCTGTCCAGGGACAACCTCCCGATCTCCTTCACAACCAGCTCTCTTCTGCGGGACTGGCGACATGGATCACCCCCGCCCCCGCTGGCTGAACCCGGGACTCCTTCCTTCCCCAGTCCGCTCCTGTCCTGCTGGTAAGGGAGACCCGAACACTGGAGCTTGGGTTTGTCTGAGGACACAGGAAAGGCCAGACTCTACCCTGGAGAGTGCGGAGCTGGGGACGAGGCGGTTTCCAGCTCCTCGTGGGGACCTTCCTGGGGAAACTTCTGCCGCAGCGCCTGCTTCGGCCCACACTCTGGTAGCCCCCGGATGTCAGAGAAAACTGTAGCAATAAAGACATCCCTATCCCCATGGCAGAGCTCAGACCTCTAACTGCAGAGAGGTCAGCCTTACCTGGGGAAGGGAGAGAAAACCTAGGTGAGGCTCCGCGCTCGGCCAGGCGGCTCTGTGTCCTCACCCAGTCCCTCCCCCATTCAAAGCCACGGACTTCTGCCTTGAGTTCCACACCCCAGCTTGGCAGAATGACCTAACGGCCACTGGACGAAAGCATGAACACGGCCCTTCACCAGGAAGCACAGTGCTGCCTTTGGGGGGGCCGGGGGGGGGCACCTCCTAGCCTGGAAGGGTCACAGACGAATTCTTGATCTGTGGCGACGATCTTTCTCTGTGGCCAAAGGCCGACCTAAGCAGTAACTCAGGAATCCCTGCTGGCTCCCCCTTCCCCCACTCTCCCCGCAACAGCAATTCCAGGCCTGTGGCCCGAGGGTCTGCGCGGGGCGCGCCAGTGTGCCCAGGACTCGGCCGGGATCCCCTTCGGTATCTAGGACAGCCCCGGGTGGCGGCAGGCCCACACCCCCCTTTTGTATTGGTGAGTGTCCTCTGTCCACGGTCGCTGGCACGCTGGACCGGCTCCGACGAGGGAGCGGGCCATCTTGGGTCCCACGCAGAGCGCAGCCCGCGGAGCCTGTGCGCAGGTGCGCTCGCCCCGCGCCGCAGCACTCCGCG